CAGAAATACATTACAGTTTAACAGATACTCACACAGAAAACAGTTGTTTTACATTATAATAATATTTCAATAAAGTGTTTGATCAAATAAATGCAGCCTCGGTGAGCAGAAGAGACTTCTTTCAGAAACATGAATAAATCTGGCTGACCCCGTACATTAATGGTAGTGTGCTAATAAAACTAAGGCACATTTTATCTTTAAAACCTAAAGGCTGATGCTAGTTTATTTCTGACAGCAGCTCTGATCATTGCAAGCATCAGAAACATCCATTCTAATGCTGTATAAAGGCTTGGATTCTTCTGGCTGCAGTCGAGTCGAGCAGCGCTGAAGAATGCGTAAGAAAAGCAAGGGCACACGATGAAAGAGCTGAAGTTGTTGTGAGAGCGATCCAAAGCAAACGTTGTGCCGATGGTCTGCGTGTTTGTCTGGATCTCAAGAGCCGTACGGACTGCAGTCTGACCGATGGAGAACAGCATCAGACCTACAGCATCTCTATCGGGGATCATTACTCCTTTATAACACTCAGCCAGCAGAATTACAGATTTATTGCACTGTAATGTGGCGACAGCATGTCCAGTTAGAGGGAAACAATATTTTTCCATTGCTCAACACTAACGAAACGACCTCATAAAGAGGTTTGGGCCTGTGCTAGAAACCAGGCTTTAAATGAATAAACACAAATAAAGCTTGAGTCTCGTTTCAGACTGCAGAGCCGCCAGACAAACAAACAGAGAAGTGTCCAGGACTCTGATGAAGGACCGAGACCTCCCAGAGTCTGCCTGCTTTCATCTCAACAGCTCAACCGGAGCGAGAGTCTCTGTGAAGGTCCCTGTGCGTTAAACTGGATTCACAGCGTTTCTGAAGCCACTGGCCCAACGCTACGGGGATGAGGACGGTTGTCAGGGAATTGTTATGTGGTTGCTAAGGTGTCTGAAGGATATTTTCCATACAGACTCAGCACCAGCTCTATGATATTGACTCGGGTCATCAGTCTAATCCAGTCTTATTATTGTTAACTAAAACTATTAAAAATGGATATACAGCTGCAATAAAGTCAAATATAAATATCAGATGAAAAACTAATAAATAAATAGGAGAAAAACTAATTAAAGAAATAAAAGACATGTAAAAATAATAATAAATACTGCAAATAATACTAACAACACTAGTATGATCACTAAACCCTAATTTGGTGTTCCTGGTCAAAAATGTCAAATTTCTTGTTATGCTATAATATCACCAAATCTTGGATTCAATCTTTTTATCAACTTGTTTTCTTTCATTTGGCACAGGTTTTGTGTTCCTTTAGGAACTGATTGATTGCAGGCCTCATTGATCTGAGCTTAAACCTCAAACATCGGCAAAATAATCCAAAATAATGTTAGTTTGTTTCACTTTTTGAGGTGCATAAGCTCAGATCAATAATTCCTACAATTAATTAGTGGTAAGAATACAGCATAATGTTTGACCAAAAACACCACAAGTATAAGTATAAGTATAAATATTGAGAAAAGTCTAAAAAGTGACCGGAACACAACATGAGAGTTAAAGAATCAGGTTATTCACACCGGACAAGTTACATGGCGAAGTATTATCAGAACAAACATGTTCTTAATCTGTACTTTATTAAAGCCTGCTTCTACCTCGAAGAACGAAAATAAAAGCATTTGTGACAATCTCACATCTGTGACTTTTCTTCATAATTGCAAATATCTCTCACAATCCGCACAGCTGTGACTTTCTATTTCACACAAAAAAAAGAGTCACATTTATTTCAAACTTTCTCATAATTACCACAATGGCTTATTTTTACTCTTGAAGTGGAAACAGGCTTCCAAAACATCGACATCTGTAAACTCTGTGAAGGAAAATAAAGGTAAGCTCCCACCTCGGTGTCTTTCTTGCATACTTTAGCGATGTCATTTTTAGACGACGCCTGAACAGAAAGCAGAAAAACACACATCTAAGAACCACAGGTGAGCCGATGAGCTTACAGACTTCTCTACATGTTTATATAGATTATATAAGATCTGTTCACTGACCTGCTTGCAGTCCCTGCGGCACTCAGCGGAGATGGCCAGCTCACAGCAGCCCAAACCCACCCATCCGTCTGACTTCTTTGATGCTCCTGGAAATGTTCAGAATCACAGTGAGCTTTACAGTGGATCTAATGCAGAACCATACATGACACACTGATGAGTCTCGAAACAACACGGCATTCATATGGCATGCAGACGTGCTTTGAATGTGGAGCGTTTGGCTTGGGTTCTTTATGAGCTGCAGCTCAGCGCTCTGGACGGGGTTGTAATGGCCATGCAAGGTGTAGCTTGACTGATGTGAAGTGTGATATTTGTGCATCTGGGAGGCATTATGTCTTCAGAGGCTCTAAATCCTCTCTTGCTCTTTTAAGGCTGGTACAAGTGTGTTCTGCAGACGGCTCTAAACGTCTCCATCTGTGTTCACGTACCCGGCAATGTGTTGTTGATGCAGATCCAAAGTTCACTCTGCGAAGCGAAAAGGAGATGTTTAGCACGACAACAACTCAGAATACATCATCTACTCGCTCTCATGTGCTTCCAAACCTGAGGATTCTTCTTTGGAATCCAGAAGAAGTTATTTAGCAGGTCATTATTTACTGAAAATCATGAGAGAGCTGCTGATGACTGTGTTCAGGTTCAAAACAATAGATTTAACATGCGAGACTCAAAATGCAATTTAAAGCAAGAAAAAAAAACTGTTTTATTAAATAAAATATGTATGCATTAAATAAATTATTCTGCACTGCTTTAGGTCACTGTTTACATAAGCAAATTTGTGCATTGAGCACTTTTTACTCAAATTGTTATGCTGGAATTATTTATACCGTGTAAAAATGAAGCAAAAACATTAAATAAGAAAAAAATACACTGATGTTTAAAAGTTTGGGGTTGGGATGATTTTGTGATGTTTCTGAAAGAAGTCTCTTCTGTTCACCGAGGCTGCATTTATTTGATCAAAAATACAGTAAAAACAGTGAAATATTATTACAGTGTAGCACATCTGTTGTCTGTGTGAATATGTGTTAAACTGTAATGTATTTCTGTGATGCGCAGCTGTATTTTCAGCATCATTCCTCCAGTCTTCAGTGTCACATGATCTTCAGAAATCAGTATAATATGCTGATCTGCTGCTCAAGAAACTTGTTGAAAACATTAATATTTTTGTGGAACCCATGGCACATTTTATTTTTCAGGATTCACAGATGAATAGAAAGTTCAAAAGAGCAGCATTTATTAAAAATAGAAATCTTTTCTAAGATTATAAATGTCTTCACTGGCACTTTTGATCAATTTAATGCAACTTTGAAGGATAAAAGTATATAAAAAAATTTGTTTTGTAATTATTTGAACAGTAGAGTAAACATTTTCAGACATCTGGACATCATGGTTTGAGCAACACAAAATACACAACAGAATATGTGAAGCATCTCAAATGTATTTTCACTGAAACCGAATGATAAAAGCAGTCTTATATAACGGTCTGGTTATAAAGGACCCGTATGAAAGCAGCCCGTGTACAAAGATCCGTTCATGAGAAGCGTCTCTGGTATCAGTGGAGCTCGTATTTTTGGCAGCGGAGAGCCTCCTAATATGACTCAACTTTAATTAAAAGTAGATGCAGATGAGCCACAGAATGCTTTACTGAGCCACAGCCTCCTCCTCATCCACACGCTTTGACCAGATCATCAAACATCGTCTGAGTATGAAAAAACACACCCGGCAAAAAGATGCAGCCTCATTTGAACGAAGCACAAACAACAATGTGGTTTTGATGCGTTAGACTCAAAAAACACATTTGATTCGGACTTTAAAATGCTTTCGAACACATTTCAAATGCTTCCAAAATCCATTTGCATCCATTTTCTGTGAATCAGCGCAGGACGCCGGTCCAAAGCAAACAGACCCGGGGCTTAATTAGAGGCTGGATGTAATTGCATGTTGCTGCTTTGAAAGAGGGTGGAGGCGTCGGTCCAGCCTTCATTACTAGCACGCAGGTAAAACCACAGCAGCAGACCACAAGGGAGGAACAGGAAGTGGCAGCGCTCTCGGTTTAAGACTTCCTGTGCTGCAGCTGTAATGTAAACACAGATCTTACCAGAGACTCGGGGCAGTAACTGGGCAAACGCAGGAGAAGGTGCTTCAGACGCGATTCACTCCTGATGGTCGCGAGCTGCAGACAGAAGAGAGGAAGAAATGCACATGTCTGGTTTAATAATCAGCAGCACAGACGAAGCAGTCAGTGACCCTTCTCTTCGAAGGACCTTCATTTGGGTGTGATTCATTGCAATTCATTTGAATAGCTCAGTAGCATATCATTTGGAAACAGTCATTAGTTTTGCAGTCCTATCTGCTGTGTGCAGAAACATTAATGCACATATCTATGCTGTTCTATACTGATTTCTATACAGTCATGAATAGACAGTGTGCAGTAATTATAGCCGTTGTAATTATTATATGTTGATGAATTCTCACGAAGATGACGAGGAAGGTTTAACAGTCTTTAATTAGCACACACTCACACACACACACACACACACACTCACTCACACACTGGAGGAATGATGCTGAAAATACAGCTGCACATCACAGAAATACATTACAGTTTAACAGAGATTCACACAGAAAACAGCTATTTTACACTGTAATAATATTTCACAATTTCTACTGTATTTGTGATCAAATAAACACAGCCTCAGTGAGCAGAAGACTTCTTTCAGAAATATTAAAAAACTTACTGACCCCAACCTTTTGAACATCAGTATATTTTGTGTTGTTCTTATTCAATACATTTTTGTTTACACACAAATCCAAGAATTGCACACAAAATACAAAAAGCCTCACATCTCTTGCAGAATGAAGCGCTGCATTCAACATATCACAAACACGTCTCAAAAGCAAACATTTGCCATAATATGAATTCCTCTTAGATTTGTGTGCTACATAGAGAATTGTGTTGTGTTTTGCAAAAAGTGTTTTATGAAATTGAAAACCGAGTCAAAGTCTGAGAACCAGTGTCTGGTTTTGTAGATTTGGTGTGTGCTTCTGCTGTTTGAGTGTCAGCTTTCAGAAACTGTGTGACGAGTAAAGATTTTGTGTGCAAGCATCTGAAAAAAACTGTAAATATCAGCATAACAAGAAATATTTTTTATATTTTCAAAAATGTGGTTCCTAGAAAACATCTTTGTTGACAAATCACTGCAAAGCTGCGTTAACACTGCTGCCATCGTGTGTTTGTAGACGTGATCCTCGGAGCGTCAGGCGGAGGAATCCCAGAGACATCCAGCAGAAGATCCAGCAGAAGCAGACACACCTGAGAATCAGAGCAGATCTGTGACTGGGAGCTCTCGCAGAGCTGGAGAAAAACATTCTCATCTGTGCATGCTCCTCCGGAAAAAGTCGTCATTATCAGAATGAAGTGCTTTCATCTCAGCCGTCCTCCATTTGCGTCTCATCCAGACCCGTTCCTTTCATCAGCGTGATTTGATCCGTTTCTTCTGCATCTCTGCCTCTTCTCTGCTAAGTGCTCTTCTTCAGTTGGAGGAGGTTCTGGATGAGCTCTGCTTTCCGTCTCAGAGCGTCTGGCTTTAAATGAAGTGAGACACACCAGCCTTTCCTTTCATCCCGCCGGTGAAGAGGACGCGATGGCTAATCGAGACGACGCCTCTGCTTTTTAATGCGATGGATGTGCAGTAAATCTGGCGCTTGTGCCGCTGTTGTTCTTCTGAGGTTGAGGAATTGACCTCCATTGTCTCAGAAGTAAAGCCACTAAATGAAAGCAGTCGCTCCTCTGATGGCTTGCATGGCATTCGTGACGAAGTTCTAAAGCGGCGATAAACATACGCTCACAGTTTGAGTAAAAGCAAGGCCGGCTAAAGCGAAGCACAGCCGAACGTTTGCTGCCGTGAAGCCAAAGAGGTGCAAAGGTTCACTTGAAAGCTGTTTTACGTGCTTGAAGTTTTGAAGATTTACTGCACATCTTCTGTTATTCTAGCATGAATCACAACGGAGCTGTTTGAAGCCGGCGAGGCTGAAGATAGAAGGAATGGATTGTGTTGGGAGGGCTATATTTCTCAGAAGAAAAGGAAAGGAGACAGGATTGCAGTCTTTTGTGATGCTGTCTTCAGGAGCTTCGAGCTCAGCGTTTGTGATTACTGTTTACAACAAGTACAAATTAATCATTCCTACACATGCTAATTTAATAAAATTTTTCAGCTATTTTTCAATCAGGAATTATTATTTTAACAATATCTATAATTTATATATTTTTTTGTAATCACATGAATCTTTACAACCTAAACTAACACTGCCTTATCATAAAAGGTCAAATGATATAGTCTCATAATTATCTGAGACTTATTGACCTTTATTAAGATGTAATAATAATAAAAAATAATACAAATCATAATATTAATAACATACCTGCTTTACTGCTTATGAATTATTATACATAAAAATAATAAATATTACAATTATTATTTATTATTATTATTAACAAAATTGCATTACTGCTTATAAATAATGATAATCATTTAAAATATTATTACATTATTAAAAAACTGCTTTACTGCTAATTAACTATTATAAATAATAATAATAATAATAATAATCAATTAAAATATTTACAAATTATTATTAAAATAACTTCTTATGCATTATATTTAAAGAACTGCTTATGAATTATTATAAATAATACGATCATGCATAAGTTTTTGTTTTGTTTTTTTCTTAAAAATGAATTGTTATATTAATTATGTTAATTGTTACTGTTCTATAACCTTGACATTTTTGACTTTGGGGACACCAAAAAAATATAAATACATTTTCTATTCATTGAAATGTCTAAATTGAAAACATGCTTATGATTGAAGAGGGGTCAAGGTGTGCATGAATTGCATTTAGATAGAACAAAAATGAGCATCATATGCCCGTTCAGCCAGCATTAGGGAGTAACGTGCTAGTATTTTGAGCTCCGCCGCTACTGTGTCCCTGTTTTTCTGAAGAATAGTAATAATGCCACCCACAAGCCACATCAAATGAATTCCCCTCTTCCAACCCATCTTCCCCTCGCTGTCTCTCTCCCTTCCTCTACGCTCCGGAGCATCCACTTCACTCTCCAAACCCGCTGCTTTCCCCGAGTACTTCAGCTCAGCGTTCTCAGCAGCGGGGACAGGCTCCCCGGGGAGTGAGGGAGAACGGGTAAAGGCTGTTTGTCAAAGTGCACATTTGATGTCCAGAGACGCCGGGATCTCTGGCGGGAATTGAAGACCACTTGAAAGGGAGGCAGTTTGACGAAGGTGATCAAACAGCAATGAGAAGCAGACCAGAGCACGAGGAGGGGGTTACAATATACGGCCCCTAGACCCCGGACCAAAGACCGCTTCCTAAGACACCCATGAGGATCCCATCAAAGTTCAAAGCCTCGGTTAGAGCGCCTACATACACAACTGGAACGGATAAACCCTACGCTAACCTGCCGCTAACCAGTCCTGCAGCACATGGT